GGATTGGAAAAGCAGAGCAGAAACAATACCAAGCTGGGTTGATGTCGTCCGCCTGTTACGTTTGGGATAGCTGTCAGCAACTTTATTACACCACCAGGACACTTTTTGCTCCTCCGGGGTGTCGACACAACGTCAAACAAAAACGATGGGTCGGGTTGACCAAGCGGTCGAGTTGGCGCAGGTTTGTGCGTCACACCGCAGTTGGCCTGACCAGCCGGTCAGCCTGCCTGATGCAAATCGGTCAGGCTGTCGGTTTGGTTGGAATGGTCAACCGACGGCTTTCCACACCGGCGGTTGTCGGCCAGCCGCCCGATCCTTGACTGTCCGGGGGCAGGCTGTCATCAAGTGTCATTTAGACACCCGGCCTCCTGACCCATATACGACCAACGGTTTGCCAAGGCCATCACCGTCAAGCCTCCGGCAATATGACCCAAGCTCAGCCAGGCTCTAGATTTGGTCAACCGCTGGAGACCAGGTCTGACAGTCCTGCCAAACCAACGAGTTGCCGTCTCGAAGAGGCTTGCCAGGGCGCCTCATGAAGGTTGCGGTTGGGATGACCAATGCAGAGTCGTCGGCTTGACGTCGGGTCACCCCATTTTATGACAATTCACAATTGTCTCAGTGTTTCTCTTTTTGGGTGAGACGTGGAGAAAAATTGGTATGAATTTTTTTTTTTTTTTCAAAAAAATGACTTAGAGAAAAAAAAACAGCTTGCATATGGAGGTTGCGGGATGAAAGATCCCTCTTGGACAAGTCTATCACCAAGTAGGCCTGGCCAACACCACACGCAGGCAGGTGATGTTTTCTGCGGAGCTGCGGCGTGTGGTTTTCCCAAAGGCTCGCGCGACCTGTGAAAGCCTTGCCTGAAACATCAGGTGATGTTTCCCATCTGCCATGCATGTCACTATGCATATGTACACCTGTCATAGGTAAGTACATAGCAGGCTAGACATACAGAATCCTGTATGTCAATACATTACTTTACAGTGGCAGCCACAAGTCATCTCACACTCGTTAAAATGCATACATAAGCGACATTTTATTTATGCTTAAAAATACAAATATGTATAAGCACAGAGAGTCATCATCTTGCCTACTCGACTCATCAATGCCTAGGTGTCTGCAAGTGACACAGCGACATACATCTGGGTGGCGGCTTTGACAAATAAAACCTGGGTTGTTCACCGTGTTCCTCCTCATCCAAACCGCCATCCCCACCACTCCAGTACTCAAGCTTCAAACTTTGTCACTACATACTATCAACCCAAAGCGTGAATCCCTAGCTACATACCTTATATTTACTATCAACCCAGAGCGTGACTCCCCAGTTATTTTATAATCTACATTAACTTTGAGAATATTATGGATGCCTCTATGATTGCCGAATTACAAGCTGGTCTCGCCCAAAGAGATGCCTTGATTACTCAGCTTCTCAATCGAGTTAGTGCTATGGAACTTAAGAATGCTAGCAAGGCTCCAGAAGGCTCGAAAAAAAAGTCAACATCTGCAGGCGCGGCTCAAAGTGGTAGCGGAGAAACCAGCAAGAAAAAAATGTCCAACAAGGCCGGAAAAAAGAAAGCAACAACAACCCCAACACCAACCTCCAAGGCAGTTCCAAAACCTCCGACCAACTTAGGTTCCGCCACCAAAACTCCCGTGAAGCAGCGCGCCCGATCGGCAACCCCAGCCTCCGCATCGAAGAAAAGTCCGCTTCAAATGGTGAAGCAAGACCATCCTGAAGGCTTTGAGCACACCAAGGTATGTCCTCCATGCTCTACCTCACACAACTGCAACAACAGCTGACCATTTGTTTGCATTTCAGGAGGCATTCTATGTCCACATCAAGGTGTTGTGGGGTTTGATCAAGAAACGCGCCGTCCCCAACACCCCTTCCCCGGAACAGTTGGCTACCTTTTACCAGAGATTCTCGTCAACCGAACAAATTCAATCGGCCGTCACTGGAGGCCCAAACCTGGTAGCTCTCGAAATGATCAATACCCTCAAAGAAGCTCAAGAGAAGCGCATGAAACTTGGCAAGCATATTGTGAATATATCCGACTTCCACATTCAGTACATTCATACCTCCTTGTCGCAACTCGGTCTCTTCGCTTGGAACCCCAATCTCAACGAGCAAGCTGACTCCTTGTACAACGAGGCCCACAAGATCTGTGCCATCAGGAGCTTTCGACAAATGGTTGCAGGCGGGGCTTACCAATACATGAACGTAAACGCAACTTACGTCGACAATTTCGATCTTTTGAAACAAACTTACGACCACTACGTCCACTATGTGCTGGCAAAGATATTCGACAAGGAGAAGAAAGAGCAAGGCAAGCATTTTCGTGATGAGGAGAGGAAGGTGCTCCAGACCGCCCGAGAAAGGGTAAGTTTTTTTTAGTTTATTTGAATCCTAACAACTGTTGCTGATAAAACAACCTCGGTTCCAGCTCAGGGAAAAACGCTACAAGTATGCAGTCAATAACAACTTTCCTAAACAATACCTTGAGATTATCAAGTGCGTGCAGGCTCACAGCGATGATGAGTTTTACCCTTCCAAATCCGTGTACATCGTCAAGAAGCTTCCCTTTCGATCCCGATCGGCCGATATATTTTTCCGCCGCCTCAATGAAGTCATGAAACAATTGTCGCTTGAAGAAGGTCGACGTGATCAAAGCAGACGACGAATCCGCGTCAAAGACGCCCCAAATACTGTTTTTCCCAAAGCACCCAAAGGACTGCCGATCGACTTCTACGACACAGAGTGGTTCAACGAGAAACTCCCTGCACAGCGCCAAAACCTGGCCAACATCGACGCAGTGGCTTTCCTCTCAAACCCCAACGACTCTCTTAGATTCAAAGACCCGATTGAAAAGCTCTCAAACAAGAGATTTGCTGAAGAAAGATGGGACGACGCCACAAAGCCGTACAACATGGACTTCCTGACTCCCAAAGAACAAGACTCCGACTCCGACGATGAAGACGGGGACAGTGATTATGGCGAGAGCATTGATTTGGAGAAAACCGATGGGGAAGATGATGACGAGGAAGAGGAGGAGGAGGAAGAGGAGGAAGAGGACGCAGATGATGATGTCAACATGAGAGGAGAAGCCGATGAAAACTTTGAGGAGTTTGATGACCCAGAGGCCGACATGAAGATGGAACACTACGGGAAGGGGTCTTATTTGGGGGGGCTAAATGATGAGGAATGGAACGCATGGCAGTGAAGGTTGCTCGGTTGATTTTTTTTCTCCATCTCTTGAACTGATCCCTGTCACTCGTTCAGTTTCTCTCTTTATCTCTTTGATTCAGTACAGCTTGTATGTTTCTTGATTCCTTTCACGTATCATTGTCACTCTTTTAATCCTTTATCCTGCTCCGCGAATAGTTTCATAGTCTTTTCTTGATCTTTAAACATCATTGTCGCTCGTTCACTTGTTTTCCTTTTTTGATTTTTCTTAACACCTGGTCACTCGTTTACCCTCTCCCAAAGTGCAATGCAAATTGAACTCACTCGTTTACCCTCTCCCAACGTGCAATGCAAATTGAACATGTAATAATTAACATGATGGCCTAGCGACCCTGACTCGGAGTTACAATGGGCAGAGAAATAGCCTAGCCACCCTGACTTGGATGAGGCATGTAACCTGTACCATGATGAGCTGGCAAGTCAAATTGTAGGTAGAATTTCCTAGTAAAAAAGCGGCATATAAGTGAAATGGACAAATGAGTTGAATAAGTGAAGAATCAAGTCAAAGACAATTCAGAATATGACAATGAGTATGTAAAAAAGTACAAATAATTGAAAAAGAGGTTACACGAAAAAAGAAAGAAAAGGAGAAAAAAGATATGTGAAGAAGAAAGATCAGGGGTCTAGCTCCATTGGATCATTGGTTGAAGATGGAGCTGAGGAAAGGCCACCAAGTGGTCTGATGAGATAGCTGGGATTGACGGTTGCAAGGGACCATGCTGGGAGGCGGCGATAGGCTACCGGGCTAACTACCTGGGGGGGATGAATATATTCAATTGTCCCAAAGTGCAATTGTAACACATTGAGCTTCTCTAAATAAACTGGGAAGGCATCCCCTCGCGCAACTTGCTTGCCCCGGATCACCTTTATGACATCTGAATGTTCATGGCCAATTCCAGTTGGACGAATGATGTCACACACCTGTCCATAAGCCAACTCCCCGTCTTTGCTGATGTACTCGACTATGTCGTTTGGTTTTCTTTTAGATATCCTCCTCCCTTGTCCGACCTCTAGCGACCTGATTTCCTTTGCGAGACTGAACATGACCTTGGCCTCGGGTGGATGAGGTAGATCGTAATATGCGCGTAGGTCTGGCACCGTTTGGCGACAAAAGTGCAGGACTTGGTCGTAGGCCATGCGATCCATTTCAAACGGGGCCTCAACCTGTTTTTTATCTCCTTGTTTACGAGCACAGTCCAACCCGTGCGCAGCCTTCAGCCTTTGGCGTTGGCAGAACTTGTTCATAATTGTAACTCCTGTGTGTTCTGAGGGCAAGTACAAGTGTCAGCCACCCATATGTAAATTAAGGGATCTTTTAATTACTCACTTTGATGGGTATTTGTTTTACATTTTTGCAATGAACCAATGAGCCGCTCTCCAGGAAATTTGGATACCGCCATGAGAGGCCCCCACCAATTCATATGTTGAGGGATGTGGAGCGCGTAATGGTGATTTGGCAGGATTTTCAGATTGGGAAAAAGTTTTTCTGAAGTTGCAGTATATACCTCGTATTCGTCTTGGAAGCAATTGGCATCTTTGCGAGTGATTTTTTTTGAGCTTACAAGGTTTGTGCAGCGGACCAAGGCACAGATGTTGTCCAACGCAGTTCCATTCAAACGTAAATCTTCTTTGATATTGCCAGATTCCAAGAATATGTCAAGTGAAGCCAAAGGCAGGTGAATGGCAAAGAGAGTATGCCATTCACTGGCTTTGAGCTTCCCATTCTTCTTTGTCCCAAGCCCCCAAGGCATTTGAGTAATGCCAGTCGGAACCACAACATCGAGGACTGATTCGACTAGTTTTTTTTTGTGCCACACTTAAGAACAAGCTTGCAACCTTGTCGTTGTCGTCGTCATCTTCTTCCTCGGCATTGGAGCGATCATCCTCGGTGACATAGTTGCTAGATTCAGCTCCGCTTATTCCTGAGTGGGCTGCAGCCCTGTCTTTCTTATCGGGGTTTCCATTTAATCCCCACCGAAATCAAAAGTGATGCTGTAAAACACCCTCGAACCAATTGTGCATGATACCCAGCACCACATGGTTGACCGGGTCCCAGTAAGGAAGTCGGTTTAGTTCTGAAGATCGTACTCCCGTTTCTTTGACCTTAGCCTCTCGTTCTGTTGCACTTGCTTCAAGCCAATGCCGAGCGGCGGCTAAAGTCGCCAATCGAGTCCGAGGCTGTCCAATTTTCATCTGTGAAATCTCTGTGTTGAGAACATTGCACCAGGAGCAAAAACGTTTCCCAGAATGCGAGGTGAATCCAGCGACTTTGTGGGTGGCAACGACATCGCCAAGCAAGGCACCCAGCTTAGCGGTAATCCTTCGGCCTTGTGGGAACTGGTGGGTCTGGATTTTCTGACTTTTATACAGCTTGATGAAGTCGTCTACTAGTGGTCGTAACACATTGTTGGTTGTTATCATGTCGGGTTGGTTGGGTGCAGGAATGATTCCAGCTACGAAAGTGTATTGTGGCTTGTATCGTAATTCCGGATGGAGGTTTAGGCATGTGAGAGCAAGAACACCGAGCGAGACTTGTTTCCCTGCAAGTTTGTTTCCAAGAGGGTTGAACCAATCGACAAACAGAGTGAAAACTAGGTTGAGAGGTGGAGGCTGGTTAGTTGAGTAGACATCCTGTGAATTGAGCTTATTGAATGCACGTGATTGAAGATAGTCGGAGATGCCGTCAGGACGAGGATCCGCTGGCCCAGAAGATTCTTCAATAGAGACTTCGACTTCAGGTAAGGACAGAAACCACTTCAACCAGTCCGTCAAGTCCTGAGTGATAAAGATACTTGAGGGGTTTGTTGGGTGAAGCTGTTGGAGCTGCTGACGTCGGAGTTTTGAGGGTGGTAACTGTTGATTTGGAGCACGCGAGACTTGGTTGAGCGAAGGGATTCTGTTTGTGTCAAATAGTTCCTCTCCGCATACTAGTGATTTGGGAGTTGCGCGGTAGCCACATGTGAATGGTGCTGTTTTGATGTCGTACAGCGAGTAACACTTGGGGCAGCAGACGTGTTCTTCAAGTTCAGGGGTGAGTTTCAATTGCTTTGTTATGGTGCGCACATCCTTTGGGATCTTTGTTTTGATATCGGCATCGGGGGGAAGCTGGCGACAATGTTTGATGAGATATAAGATATAGTCAACTGCCTCGCGACACTTGTCTTGACTGATCCCGCAGAACAAATAGAGCCATGCGATAAAGTATAGGACATAATCTAGAAGTGTACACGTTAATGAGCTTGGTAAGCCAGGCAGTGAAGTTGAAACTCATATACTCACAATGGGAGATTCCAATTGGTTGGTATTCGTGGTCGTCTGAACCACACGAGTCTCTCTTACTAGCGTCGACTTCAGGGATTGGTTGGGCTGGTTTTTTGTCGCTGAGAAGGGATGGAAATTCATCGAGGGCGAGCTTGACCATTGATTCCGCTAGTTGTTTTCCATTGTCTTTTCCAGTATCATGCCAGTGCTTCTGTCGAGTTCTAGGATGTACATAGAGTCCTTGTCGGGTGAGACCATTCTCGATAAAGATATTTTCTCGGCATTTGGGACATGTACAAAGCTCTCTTCTTGATGGAGAATCCATAACGCAAAGATTGAACCTGTTTGAAAAATCAAAAATCATTAGCAATTCATCTTGCTGTAGCTTGGAGAGACAGGTCGCTGGACTTACACAGAAAAGCCGGATAACTGGGGAGTCGGGATCGGAATTCAAGGGTGTGGGGCGAGTGATGAAGTTGCAGCTGTGTAAATATTAGGGGGTATCAAATATAGGAAATCCACCATCAAAAACCAGTCACTTTTCCAAAAACTTTTTTTTGCATAAATGGGCCCCAAAAGGGGTTAAATGGATAACCAAAATGTTTAAAAAAGGGTGGGTTTTTTCAAACCAGTCAATTAAATAAAGGTGGATTTGGTTATATTTGATACCCCCTATTATTTATGTAGTTTCCACAGAGTTGGGTTGCATAAATATGTATTGACATACAGGATTCTGTATGTCTAGCCTGCTATGTACTTACCTATGACAGGTGTACATATGCATAGTGACATGCATGGCAGATGGGAAACATCACCTGATGTTTCAGGCAAGGCTTTCACAGGTCGCGCGAGCCTTTGGGAAAACCACACGCCGCAGCTCCTCAGAAAACATCACCTGCCTGCACGTGGTGCAAGCAGTCAAGAACATCACCAACATGTGATCATGATGGGTGTTATCTTGAGATCGAGTCCGGTGGTCAGCATAAATTTTTATGGCTCCGCCTGCACAACAGAGAGCCCAAATTTTTGCCTCTCACGGCAGAGCCTGCAGCTGTCAATGCGGGGTCCAAATCTCACGGACTGATGACAGCAATGTAGGCGAGTTGTGGGCAGGGAACGGTCGGGCTGACTGTAAACCTCTTGAATCCATAATCTCAGGACCGCTCATGGCCCTGAGATAATTATTGGATGTCGGCGGCTTATCGTCGGGCCACCCACATCCCGCCCGGTGGACATGGGTCAACACCCCGACCACGCCGACCCCCTGGCTTCAAAGCTGCCAATTTGACGTCGGCAGACAGGAAGGTTTGGCTGGGTCGGCGGAGGTCGGTTCGTCCGTCAAGATACCGGGCGGGTTGCCGTCGAGATGCACCCGTGGTGTATGAGGGAAGTTTGCAATCCATCATGCAAACTTCCCTCATATAAGTTGCTGACAGCTATCCCAACCCTAACCAGCGACCACATCAACCAGCTTGGTATTTTTCTCTTTGGCCACATTTCGAACAGCAAACCTGGTAAGTCCTTGATACGAAGATTATGATATTTTATGATCATTTCTCTTAACAAAAAAAAATCATTTTACCCCAGAAGACGATATGTTCGCTGCTGTTGTGGTCTCCACTACCATAATTGCTGTTGGTGAGTTTTTCCCCTTTTATTCTTCATTATGACCCTCTGCACTATATACACACAAACCAATCCAATTTTCACAAAGCACACCTATATTTCACTCGCCAAGAGACCCCAAGACAAGAGGGTCATCGACGAGAGGCTGAACAAAAACGACAAGAGGCTGAACGAAAACGACAAGAGGCTGAACGAAAACGACAAGAGGCTGAACAAAAACACCAAGAGGCTGAACAAAAACGACAAGAGGCTCATGCTGCCATGATGAAGATCCAGGAGGAGATACTCTTAAGAGTAAGAGAGCTGGCGAAGGCAGTCGCTGAGCTGAAGATTACCCACGACTCAAGGCTGTGACCACATGTAAAGTCACAGTGCCTCATGGCAACGGTGGGCCGCTACACTAACCGTAGCGGTTAGTGTAGCGTAACGTAGCGGAATTCCCGTTAGCGTTAAGCGTAGCGTAGCGGAATTCCGCCACGACACCGCTAACGCTACGCGTGTGGGCCGCAAAAAAGGGCCCACTACGCTGCGCTACAGCGGTTTTTAGCGGTTTTTAGCCGCTTTTTCCGCTAAAAGCGCTGTAGCGCAGCGTAGCGTAGCGAAAATGCGCTACAAAAGCGCTAACACTACGAATTTTTGGCGCAAAAAAAGCGCCGCTACGCTACGCTTTTTGGGCCAAAAGCGTAGCGTAGCGTAGCGGCCCACCGCTGCTCATGGACCTTAAAAGGATTGTGCTAAGTTCCACCTGTCTGTAGACCACCAACTGCAGCAGCTTGTTTTACGAGCCAGGGGTCTTGCTGGACAAGGTTCTGGATGCCAATTATTGTTTTTGCTAGTTTTCATTTTTCGGTCTTCTTCATCTGCTCAACCCTTCTTGTGTAAATCACTTTCCACTGTGCTTATTCTCCTCCAACTTTTCCTTTCCTTCTTCTTCTTCATTTTGTTTTTTCCGTTTTCTTTCAATCATATCACCACACACTCTTTCTGATTCTTGAAGCACTGGCTAGTTGGCTGGAGCTTCACTGAACTTGACTAATCCAGGGGTCCTGCGCGACAGTCCCCCCCTCCGAATCCACAGGATCTTGATGCAGCTCTAGTACTATTCTGGTTTTCAAGCTCATTAAGTCACTTTGTTGCGGCCTAACGCTAAAAAAGCCATGATGGTGTTACATCGAGTTATTTTCATCGCTGGACTCAGCTTGTTGAATGCTTGTAGCTTGCTCCAAATGATACAACCAGCACCTCTCACTGATATCAAGTGCCGTAACAGAAAGACAGTTATGACCCAATGATTGCACAAGTCACGGTTAAAGGTAACATGCAAGAAAACGTTGACCTCATTTGCATTCTCTTTCTTTTCAACCCCGAACTAACACAGGGGATACCAAAAACATACCTACGACGCAGATCTGACTCGTGACAAAAGTGAAATTACCCTTGACCTCTCCAACACACTATAGCATAACATTACACGCTCGTAGATTTTTCAATTGAAGCGCTGATGCTTATCATAAAATCTTCTCACCGCTAACTCAGGGCAGTCCCAAAATTCTGCTTGATAGCTGTCAAACAGATTTTTCCGCGTATCTGACCAATGAACAAAATGATGATAGGCAGCTTGTCAGTTAAAGAATTGTGAGACTTTCCTGAGTGACTCAGGAGAAAAATTTATTAAAGACTTCGATGGACTGTTTCTGCGTAGCTTGATTGATGACGCCTCCAGCCTGGATGCTGTTGAAGCAAGCATCAATCATCATCGCAGAAGCTGGCTTCAAAAATGTTGGCTCATCCAACAAGACCCCAGGCTCGATGATCTTAATCAACTGAATGAGGATCTTCATTGAAACCTCGCCAAATAGCAACTTCAGTTGGTCGTGCGTGCAACTTCAAGCTTGTAGAACATCCGACAGACCTCTGATCAGGTAATGCAGCTTTTCAGCAAAGCCCATCACCTTCTGTGCAGAAATGCAATCATTGATGACCACTGGAGCTAAGGCGTCATATTCAGCCCAATCCTCAGGGCCTACCGTGTTCGCAATTTTTCCGGCAACTGAAGAGGCAATGACAAATGATAAGAGCTTAAAATAGAGACTGATTTTTCGGGTTTTCTCAGGTGATGCACTATCATTGATCACGATCTATCACGATTAGCTTGCGGCTCATTAGCTTGATGCTGATGCCATGCTTGAGGATGGAATACAGATTTCGGGACAAAAAGATAGAGATGTTGAGAGAATGATGGGGTTCACTCTCTGCGCGTAATACGAGATGAGCTTGGATTGTTTGGGCCATTGTCAAACCAACAAACAAGTGAATATTTACTTTGTTCCCAACAGCTCAAAGGCAATAATTGAAAACGGGTTCGATCAAATTTAAGCAAAATGTAACGGTTATGTGCGTTTATACTTTGCAGCTTTTCTCAATCATAGCCAGAGGGGGATCTCAGAATGCTGATTCCAACAGGCGATTTTGGTATCCTGTTTAGGCTGGTCATGCTACTCTCCCAGGTTTTGATGGGGTTCACTTGTTGACTAGGCACCATACCCGCCCAAGTGTAGCTTCCTATGAGAATGATTTAGAGTTGAACCGAGCGTTCTGCTTTGATGACCCCGATGAGGTTGATGTAGTCAAGCAAGATTGTATAGAGTATGTGTTTTTCACCTGTGAAGGGTACTGCCTCCTCACACACATGCAAATGGCGCACTGATTGGCTATTTATTGAATTGACTGATGTGTAAGCAGAGCCTACAGATCAATCCCTACAACTGCGGAAGGGCGCTTTGTGTCAATTGACCACCATAAACCCACAAATGACTCTGTTGCCAAAAAATTTATTGTGAGTTGGAATAATCCTCAGCCCCTTGGGAAATTATCTCCAGCTCTCAGAGAGCCCTGCACTAACGAGTACGGTGTACATATTTCTTTTAAATCTGAAACATCAGGTCAGCGTATGGGCATCTGGTGGATCAAAGGTCATGGTGTAAGCTCAAAATTAAGCTGAACTCATGTCAATGGCTTGACACTTACTCCTTATCTCTGATTTTCTCAACAAACAGGTTGAAGGCCAACATTGACATTTTATTTGACAAGCTAATGCAAGAATGCAACCCCAGCGTGAGTGATGCCTTGTATTTTAAGCTGTAAATTTAATTTATCCTGGTGAAGTGTATTGTATTGACTTCAGATTGGTCTTATAGGGGGGTGACATCCTGGCCCAAGGAGCTCTGGGGAAAAATGGGAAAATCAACTTGCAGGTTACTGGTGAAAAATAATGACTCATCAGCTTTTCAATTTTTAAGCAATTTTACAACATGCTCATTTGGTCAACTGGGATTATCCATGTTGTTTCAAAATCCAAAGTGTTGTTGATGTGATGAGATTGAATCATCCTTACCCCCTTTTGTAGCAATGGACATGTGACATAATCCTTGAAGGAAATTTTCCAACATGTGTAAACAAATTGAAATAGCACTAAAAGAATTGCAAAATTTGGACTGTTGTTCAGACATGATGTTCAGGACGTTTAGTGCAAATTACTTACAGCAATCAGGATAGTTTCATCAAGGATCTTGTAAATTGTAAACAGGTCCCCACTGAATTTGCTATGGAGCTCTGGATTCTGGGCCGAACTTGATATAGTTTGTGAATGATGATGATGATTCTCAGAACAAAATCTCACACAAGCTAGCTCTACGCCAGTGTCTAGTGAGTCTGGGTGTAACCCATTAACTGGGTTACAACAAAACTGACATCTCAAACCCAAGGGAATTTGAGTTCAGTAATGTTACAACCACAGTCCGGAAGTCAGGTACTTCCTCAGTCCTTTCTCATACTCAGAACCATTCACACACTCCGCGCCTTCCCAATCTCCACATCGATGTAATTCCTTAACTCAACACTACTCTTACTGACTCAACATTTACTCTCAATCAGACCGAAATCAGCCTCAGCTTCTCAGACTCAACACACAAACAAAATCCTTTCAGGAACTGAACCGATCTTTGTTACTGTTACCGTTTATCCCTTTTCCTTCTGTTTGTTCATGTACTCAAATGCTACGCGTGTTCTCTCTTCCTTTATATACATGCTTACAAAGGAATAGCCAAATATTTGTACTTATAAGACTGCTGCCTGTTGACTGTCTGTTTCTCTTCTCTCTCTCTCATGCTTTACGGAATACATACTTCTGCCTATCTCATCTCACAGTCACTGACTTCGACAGTCAGACTCTCCCATTTCTGTGCCACGCACTACTATCATCGCACCTCGTGCACGCACTGCCCTCGCTAGAGGTTATGAGCCCAGCTGTAACTCTATTCAATTACTGCCTAAAAATCTGCTACATCACATTCTTAATCACTCTATACTTTATCCTCCGAAACCTTTTCATCACTCTCACTGCAAGAATCGACTCTCTCGAAAATCAACTCAACAGTTGTAAAGAGCTCATCAACGCAAAGATTGAACTTGGTCTATAAAAATAATCCCACGGCATCCTCTTTCTCGACGAAATGGCCAACAACAACCTAAATCCACTCAACCCATCTATCAACTTGATCCCTAAGCTCGAGGACACTAATTTCTTCGAGTGGAAGAGAACAATAACCGGACACCTCACCGCGATGGGAAAACTCAAGTACATAAATAGCGAAGTCGCCAGACCTGAAGACGAAGCCGCAGCCGAAACGTTTGTCCAAGAGCGTGCCCAGGTCCTCCAAGCAATCCGGCTCACCATCAGCAAAGAAAACCGGTCCGCCATCATTCACTACGACGATCCACACTGCGCTTTCAAAGCATTGGAAGAAAAACACGGTAGCAATGATGCATTCATGATCGCCAGCACCATCGCGGATATCGTGCACCTACGATATGAAGACACTTCGTCCCTGGACGACTACATTGCTCAGATCCGGTCTCTCCACAATAGACTCAACGACATGACTAAAGACAACGAAGCTTTTCAGCTACCGGACAACGTTCTCGCTATTTTCATGATCATCAACCTACCGATGGAAGAATTTCAACACATCATTCAGTCTCTCTTCTCAAATAAAACTGTCAGTGTCAAACAAGTGATATCCCGTCTAAACTCTGAAGCCGCCATGGTAAAGAACTCAACGTCTAAAGACACGGCAATGTACGGCTTCAAGAAAAATAAAGCGAGCGGTCTTTCCAACAATAATAAAAGCGACAGATGTACAATTCACAAATTCAGCTCTCACACCAACGCCGAGTGCAACGCACAAAAGAAGAATGGAGCGAAAAACGTGACGAACACAAATCGATTCCCTTCGGCTAATGCTGCAACCGAAACTCCAGATGCCCAGGATGAATCTAGTCCCGACTTGGCATCA